AAAATCAGCCAAACATGCAAGCAATAAAAGAGACACAAAATAGTAATTAAGAGTGACAAGTGTGGAAAAAGACAAATGCAGAGATAATATGTACACATATAGCAGGAAATAAACATGACAGGAGAAAATATGTAAAAGATGAGACAGTAAAGCATAATAACAGAATATAGAAATTTATTCCAGGAATGCAAGAGTGGTTCAACGTACAAAAATCAATGTAATAATATAATATACCTACCGCATTAATAGAATGAAGAGAAAAAGTCTACGTGATCTTTTTTTTTTTCTTTGAGACAGTCTCATTCTGTCACCCAGGCTAGAGTGCAGTAGTGTGATCTCGGCTCACTGCAACCTCTGCCTCCCAGGTTCAAGCAATTCTCTGGCCTCAGCCTCCCTAGTAGTTAGGACTACAGGCACGCACCACCACACCCAGCTAATTTTTGTACTTTTAGTAGAGACAAGGTTTTGCCATGTTGGCCAGGCCAGTCTCAAACTCCTGAGCTCAGGCAATTCACCTGCTTTGGCCTCCCAAAATGGTGGGATTACAGGCATGAGCCACTGTGCCTGGCCCCACATGATCGTTTCAATTGATGCAGGAAAAGCATTTGACAAGCTCCAATACCCCTTAGTGATAAAAACACTCAGAAAACCATGACTAGTAGAAGGGAACTTCTTCAACATGATAAAAGGGTATTCATTTTTTAAAAACTACAGTTAACATCATACTCAGTAGTAAAAGACTGAAATATTTTTCTAAGATCAGGAACAAGACAAGGGTGCCCACTTTCACCAGTGCTATTCAACATTGTACTAGAACTTCTAGCCAGAGCAATTAGACAAGAAAAAGAGAGTGCATCCAAATTGAAAAGGAAGAAGTAAAACCATTCACAGATGACATGATTCTATACACATATATACAAAAATCCTAAAGAATCTACAAATAAAATTATTAGAGCTAAGAAATTAACTCAGCAGAGTTAGGGTACAAGGCAGAGAATCAGTTTTATTTCTATACACTAGCAATGGACAACCCAAAAAGAAAATTAAGAATTTCATTTGTAATAGCATCAAAAATAATAAAATACTTAGGACTAAAATTAACCAATGCAGTGCAAGATTTATACACAGAAAACTACAAAACACTGCTAAAAGAAATTGAAGACACCAATAAATGGAAAAACATTCCATATTTATGGACTGGAAGACTTAATATTTTTAAGATAGCAATAATGCCCAATATATATTTTAAAAATCCTAAAGAATCTACAAATAAAATTCAATGCAATCACTATCAAAACCCCAATGATCTTTTTTGCAGAAATGGAAAAGCTCATCCCAAAATTCATATGGAATTGCAAATGGGCCTCAAATAGAACAAATCTTGAAAAAGAGGAATAAAAGTGGAATTCAAACACTTCCTGATTTCAAACTTACTACAAAGCCACAGTAATCAAAACAGTGTGGTACTAGCACAAGATTGACATATAAAGCAATGGAATAGAATTGAGAGTCCAGGATGAAAGCCATACAAGTAGGGTCAACTGATTTTCAACAAGGACACCAAGACCATTTGAAAGAATAGTATTTTCAACAAATGGTGCTTGGACACATATTGTTGAATTTTGAATTGAAATATATTTCAAATATTGTTGAAAGAATAGTATTTTCAACAAATGGTGCTTGGACAACTAGACAGCCACATGCAAAAGTATGAAGTTGAACTCTTACACTATATACACAATGAACTCAGAATGGATCAATGATCTAAATGTAAGAGCTAAAACCGTAAAAGTTTTAGAAGAAAACATAGAGGTAAATCTTCATGACTTTGGATTTGACAATGGTTTTTCTTAGATATGACACCAATAGATTCATTCTGTACAGCAAGCAACTGCTTCTTCCCTAAACTTTTCTACGTATTACAATGCTTTCGAAAATAAACTTAAATTTTAATGCCTTTAGGGAAGTTATTTTATTATTCAAACAGAGAATCCATGGTTCTAAGATGAATGAGAAACAGCTCCTGTACCATAAGGTTCTTTAGAGTTAGTGGAGCTGATCTTAGGGTGAAGCTGGACTTGGGAGATGAAACTAGGATTCACCTCTTAGAGGTAGCCTCTGTGCATGTGTTAGGAAGTTGCCTAGAAACCTCCGAACCAAGACTAGATTTGGGTATATGGAGTTCTCAGGTGTCAGTTTTCTGGGGAAGCAAACTGTGGGAAAAACACGGAGTTCTCTTGACTTTTGTAGAATGTATGTCTTCACTGCTGCTCAAAATTAGGGCCTGGGACTGCCTCTTTGAGGTAGATCAGTTAACAACAGAAACTGGGTAGTGCCTGAAAGGGTTAGCTTCCATGTTGATGGTAACAGTAGGTAGTAGGTCAGGAGGACAACTCAAAGGAGCCCAGAGAGAGATGAGATAGGATACCCTTGACTGACCACTTCTGACCTACTGGGACAAAGCATGGGGAGAAGGGATGAATGGGCCCTGCCCCTGTGGGAAACATTAGATGATGCTCTTTCTCTTATCTACTCTTTTACCCGTTGGCTCTCCTGAGGCCCTGCCATTCCTTCTTAAAAGAAAAAAGTTATCAGATGACAGAATAAGAGATCAAATTTGTAAAAATCAGACAAACAGATGAGATACGCAGAGAATGAGAAAAAGAAAGGTAGATAGTCTTGCAAGCAAATAGGGGTAGAAATAAGGCCCCAAACAGGAAAAGATCAGTGACATCAAAAGTGGAGAGAGAATGGGTCACTGGAAGAAGGATAAGGGCAAGAATAAGGAAAGAAAAAGGCATGAGGTTAGTAAGAGGGCTTCAAGAGGGGAAAGAGTCATCTTGCAGTATTCTCTCTCCTTTTCATTGTTTAGACACAAGCATATTTTAGCTGTCTTCCAACTCTCTCCCTCTTCTCCCCTTTCTCCTTTATTCCATAATAAGTGTTCAGAGCCTGACCACACCATGCAGTAGGCTAGAAATAAAGAGGAAAAAGATGAATGAAACCAACTCCCTGCTCTTCAATCAGCTACTTGTGAATTATGTGATGCTCTCCAAAGGGCAGGGATCACGATAATGAACTTGAAAGTTGGGCTGTAGTTGGGTGCAAGGCTGGGGTGGGTGGGGTATTCTGTGTATGTATCAGAGGAAGACTGATTTTGATCACCCCGAATTTGGGTCCATGCTGCCAGATTGGCTGAAACTATACTTGGGCTAGGGAGCCCAGTGACCTGAGTAGTGGTTAAATATATAGACCCTTAAAGTTTACAGCTCCCCTGAGTGCTAGTTGGATAATTTAGGATTGCTAGGTAGGCAGTTGCGGCATCCTCACTCACTTATATACACATATTGTGGAAGAGATTATTAGATTTTATCCACTTTTCCTGAAATACATATTAATGAAATTAATACACACAGAGTTATATACTATTATCAAAATTTGATAAAGATATTTCACCATCAAATTACGGCACCTTGTCCCATCTTCTTTGGAACTTGCTCTCTCTGCTGCAGATGGCATCACTAGGGCCCACATTTGGAACCTCTCCCAAGATGTGCCCTGGAGTCTGTGGAGTTTGGGTGTTGTATTCCAGCTCCTCCTCCGCCCCTTTTGATGCTGACAGCATTCTTCAGAGCAGGCTCCTCTTAGGTTCCTGCACATAATCTCTCCTGCCCAAATAAACTCTCAACCATGCTTAGCAAGCAGCTGCATAATTCATAGGAAGTGAAGTTAAAAATCTTCCCCATCTTTGCCTTTCCAAGCTGCTGCTCAAAAGAGAATCCAGTAATATAGACTGAGGTCTAGGGTTTCCAAGGATCTGTACTTTCCCCTATATCTGGAGAGGGGTAGCTAATGTCACTTCCAAATCTCTGGCTTGTGAATAGGTTCTTATTCTGCCTGTTTTTAAACATGCCACCCTCTCCCACAGTTGGCATCTGTGGGCCATATGGAAAGAGGGGACATTTTCTCTTGAGCTTCTGGGAAGTATGGTTTCTTTTCTAGTTTTTCCATTTCTCTTTTCAATGCTGAAGCATTTTTCAAGACTTCCTTTTAGTCAACAAGTGCTTTCATGTTTTGTCTCCTCTTCCCTTAGCAAAACCAAAAGTAAGGTATCCTTTGGCAAGGAGCCAGGTATATCACATCAAGGTAAATGACCCATAGTTCCTCATTTTGACATTCAACTTATTGCCCAAAGGAAGAGTTCAGTAGCCAACAGGAACGTTGCCCCTCCAAAGTGTGCCACCTCCAGTGAGGCCTCCCTGTCATGCCCGGCCTGTGGACAGCCAGCCCCCGCCATCCCTTCAGTCCCCTGCCAAGCATGGGTGTACTGTGCAGGCAGCCATGTGGCCTGACAGTCTCTACCAGTCCTGCTGTCCCTCGGCTGATAATCAAACCCATCCTGAATGACGGGAAATGCGTCCTCTGCTAGCTGTGTTTTCTGTGGAACTCAGGGGAGGGGAAGGGCCAAGCCATTATTAACAGAGTGTTGTTGGGAGCAGTGAAAAGGCCACATCCTTTCCAAGGGACACTTTTCCTGGAAAGCCCCTGGAGCTTAGCTGGCTCATCCTGTGAAGCTGGTTCTCGCCACAAGGGCGCAGGGCCATTAACTCAGCCTGGAGGAAGCCTGCAGGGCAGCTGGCACTCTGGAGGGACAGAAAAAACAGGCCACCAGGCACAGACAGGCAAGGGAGGGAGGAGGATGGAATGGAAGACGCCTGGGCTGGATGGAAGTCAGTGCCCTTGGGTGCTGGTACCTGCCTTCCCAGCCACCGGTAGATCAGGCTTCTGAGCCTGTTGGCTGTCAGGGCTGGACTGTGCCCCACAGGCACCACGGCAGTCCCCGTGGAATCCCCCAGGTGTCACCAGGCAGCATACAGGTAACAGGCCTGGAAGGTCCCCATCAGCCCGGTTGGACATGTTCAGATACTCTGGCGCTCCCCGTTCAGTGGCACAAACTCCAGGAGCCAGTGAAGGAAACAGGAACACACCAGGCTGAGCAGTATGGCCAAAAGCTATTTATTCCTAAATAAAAAGCAAAATAAACAGGAGTCTCATCACCATGGAGCCACAACCCCATCCCTGCCTCCTTCCTCTGCCATATGCTATCAAATAAGTTTCCCAGCCACAAATAATTATTAGAACCTCCTCCCCATGTGCCAACTCCAACCTCCGCTATGTATGACCCAGGGGGCAGCCCTACCCCCAGAATATACAAAATGTTGCACAGATACAATATGTACACTGAGGAAGGGGACCCACCTCCAGCAGCTCGTGCCCTCGCCTGGTCTACATTAGCTCCATTGTCCTGCCTCAACTGCCTCTCTGAGTAAGATGGGAGCTCCCATGAGGGAAAAATTGCTTTGGTGAAATTAAGGCCATCAGAGAGGCCATGAGGCTTCCTCGAAAGAAACTCTGAGCCTCTAGCTCTTAAATAACAATCATCATCATCCAGAAATTTAAGGACTCAGCCCTGGCCAAGGCGGCAAAGGGTCTGCACTTGTGTGTCTCACCCCATTAGACAGGGGCTTGTCTTGCTACTCTAAGGGTAAAAGGGTGACTGGGAAGGGGTGATAGGGACATGGTAGGGGCAGAGTCTCCAGGCCCACTTCTCCAGGCTTTGCTGACAGTAGCCTGCTTTTTATTTTTTATTTTTTAAATTTTTATCCATGACTATTTTTTAATCCCATAACTTTTTTTCTATAACTTTTCCATAACTTTTTTCCATAACTAACTTTTTTCATAACTTTTTTCTTACAACTTTTTTCATAACTTCTTTAATCCCATAACTTTCTTTATCCCGTAACTTTTTTTCCCATAACTTTTTTTTAATTCCATAACTTTTTTTTTTAAATTTTGTGGCCTGTTTTTAGATGACAATGATATTCACCTCATCTGCACCTGTCTCCCTCATTAGATAGGGGTCTTATTTTGCTACTGTAAGGGTAAAGGGGTAACTGGGAAGGGGTGGCAGGGACATAGTCGGGGAGACCCTCTGGCTCCACTTCTCCAGGCTTTGCTGACAGTGGCCGGCTTTTAGATGATTGTTATCTTCACCTTGTTCTCCCGAGCCCAGTAAAAAATGGGGATGCAGGGGTTGCTGCCCAAGCCTGGGTGCCCCTGGGGGTTCTGCACCTCATGAAGCAGCCGCATGATCTGCTGTGCAGTGGGGCTGTTGTGGGGAGAACCCTCCCCGGCCTCTTCTTGTTCAGGCTCCACACTGTGGGAGATCTTTGGAGACGGGGAGGCAGGGCTCAGAGCACCGTGTGAGCCCTCCCCTCACCCTGCCAGCACACCTTGCCCAAGGGCTCTACTCACCACCCTGCGAGTCGGCAGCCCCAATCTCCTGGGGGGCTGGGTCCCCTGGAGCGGGCTCATCAGCAGGGTTCTGGGCAACTGCCAGGAATCTGCCATGCCACTCGTTGTGGCCGCCCATAAGCTGCAACACCAGCTCCAGCAGCGTCACCTGGAGGGAGGGGTGCTCAGCTGCCACGTCCATGCCCACGCCCACCCCCACCCCCACCCCTGCAGAGATGTTGCGCACCCTACCTTCATCTCCTCCTTGTCCTGGGCCAACCTGCTTACGTACTCATCCTCCTGGTGCCACGTCTTCAGCACTGACCTCTGGCTCTGGTATGATGTGATGTACTTTCCTGCAGGAGGACAGGGCTCAGACACTGGGGCCCCTCTGACCACCCTGCAGCTCCGCCGGCCGTGCCCCGGCCTCTCGCTCACTGATGGTGCCTGTTTCTCCAGACAGCTGAATGCAGCGACATTCCAGTTTCTCCACCCACTCCTTCTCCCGCATAAGCTCCATAAAGCAGCTCTGGAGTCAAAATAATGGGGTCACATCCCCGCAACAACCTGCCCTGCCCCCACCCTTCTTGGCCATGCCAGGAAAGACTCACTCACCTGCAGCTTCTCCATGGTCCCCTGCAAGGCCCCATGGCTCTGCCCACACAGAATCGCCCCCAGTCCCTGGGGCTGAGGTGGCCGCCTCTGGCTGCTTTTGGGCCAAGGCCACCAGGTGAGAAGGCGCTGGCAGTGCACCCTTTGCTCTTTCAGCCGCCCATGTGGCTGTGCCTGCTCCTCTTCGGCACTGGCTAAAGCCAAGTTTTAAAAAGTCACTAGTGGGCAGGAGGTGCGCATTCTTGTAGGGGGATACACAGGATGAACGGGCCAGGGCAGTAGAGAGAAGCCCTTCCCTTGGGGCCTCACAGGGTGCACCTGTTGGGTCTCAGGTGAAATGGAGTCTGACCACTGGCTCTGAGGGAAGGGGTGAGAGTCCAAAGAAATCAGAAGGCAGAAAAACCAAGAGCATAAGGGTGTCTGGGAGGGAGCAGAGAGGGAGGCAGCAAAGGTGGGGCAGGGGGAGTCAGGCTCACCATGGCCTCCCAGTTCTCCAGGTCCTCTAGGATGCTCAGCATGGACCAAGGCTCCTCCTCCTCCTCCTCACTCTGCAGTCCATCTCCTATGGAGGTGGGGGGTGGTGACCAGAGGGGTCCTCAGACAACCCAACAAGGGAGGTACAGTGGGCCCACCTCTGCTCCCACCCTCACTGTGTAACCCTAGGTCAGCCCCTCCCCAGAGAGGAATGAGCAGCTGTTCTGTATTTTTATTGTATTTTTTTAAAGAGCCAAGGTCCTGTTATGTTGCCCAGGCACAGTCCCACTACCTATCGACCTGGGAGTTCTGACCTGCTCCACTTCTGACCTGGGCCAGTTTACCCATCCTTAGGCAACCTGGTGGTCCCCCGCTCCCAGGTCACCATATTGATGCCGAACTTAGTGCAGACACCCGGTCTGCATAATGACCAGCTCTTCTAAGGGTCTCTTCCAACTCCTCAATCCTATGCTGCTAACAGCCCCCCGCTCCTCCTGGGGCTCTCTCCTCTTCCTCTGAGTGGTCTCCCCCGTACCTTCCCCAGGGAGAGCCATGAAGCTCAACTGGGCCTGTAGCTACTGGTTCTGCTTCTAGGCGCTCCTAAGGGGTCAGGAAAGAGAATGAGAAGGCACAGAGGCTGCCAGGTCTCATCTCCCTCGGGCACCTGCCCTCAGCAACTCCGTTTCCTGGGTCTCCTGCAACTCTTGGCGGGCCATCTCTGCTACTCTTTTCTCTGGTGCTGCAGCTGGTCCACGAGCTGGATCTGCAGAAGTAACTGCCTGTGCAGTGCCTCTTTCTCAGAGATCAGCTGCTGACAGTACGGCTGCAGGTGGCCCCGGCACTGGTTTCGCTGCTGCGGCAGGCTCTGAGCCTCTTGGCTCTTCAGCTCCACCTGCAGGAAGACGCTGGGTGTGAGGTCAAGCGGTGGCTGGCTTCCAGATTCTGGGCCCAGAAACAGGGTAACAAGGGCACCGTGGGACACTGTCACCTGCCCAGGCCCCTGGCCCCTTGTTCCAGGCCTAAGTGACTGCCTCCCTTGCCGAGAGCCCCATGCCGCCTTCCCCAGCCTCAAATCACACACCCTTTTTCCACCATTTAACCTGTAAGCCACAGGTGGAAAAGCAGGAGCCAACCCCCATCTGCTACGTGTGCTACATGCCTAATGCTTTCCACGTATTATCTCATTTAATCCTGAGCGCCTCTGTGAGGAAAATGCTCATTTCCTTTTTAAGTGAAAGAAACCAAGACTTAGAGATGGAAAGCAGTTCAATAGTGAGCAGTGGAGCCGAGGCCAGAATTCAGTTTGAATCTAAGGAGCCTCTTATACCACTGTCTTTTCCCTGTGATTGGAGGGCTCCATGTCTCTAGCTGGGATGATAGCCAGCTAGAGGATATTGGGAGGAGTCCAAGGCTACCCACCTCTAAAAGTCAGAGGGCAGGAAGCAAGAAATAGTCATGGCACTGCCCTGGAGGGTGCTGGGGTCACATGTACTGCTCACCAGAGGCAGCTGCCTCTGGCCTCCCACTTCCCTTCCCCAGAGGCTGGTACCCACCTCCCTGCCCTTCTTGAGTTGGGCGAGGGTTACCATCTCCTTCAGCTCGCCCAGATGCTTCTTCAGTTCGTGTTTCCGGGAGAGCGCGCGGCTGATGGTGGTACGGTCGTTCTGCACGGTTTGCCTGAGCGCCTCCACCTGCTCCTCCCAGAGCTCGGCCTTCCGCTCCAGCTCCAACAGCCTCTCCTCTTGTTCCAGCAACCTCTCCTCCTGCTCTTGGTTCAGGTGACTCAAGCCCTCATTTTCTTGCACTTGGGCTTAAAGCTGTCCTGTCAGATTCTCCAGCTCCTTCCGCAAGTGCTCAGCCTCTGCTTGTAGCTGCTGCTCCACCTTGGAGGACCCTGCTGGGGACTCCGGGGGCGAGGGTTCAGCTGAGAAAGGAAGCGGCCTTCCGCTCCTGCTCCAGCAGCCTCTCCTCCTGCTCCAGCAGCCTCTCCTCCTGCTCCAGCAGCCTCTCCTCCTGCTCCAGCAGCCTCTCCTCCTGTTCCAGCAGCCTCTCCTCCTGCTCCAGCAGCCTCTCCTCCTGCTCCAGCAGCCTCTCCTCTTGTTCCAGCAACCTCTCCTCCTGCTCTTGGTTCAGGCGACTCAAGCCCTCATTTTCTTGCACTTGGGTTTAAAGCTGTCCTGTCAGATTCTCCAGCTCCTTCCGCAGGTGCTCAGCCTCTGCTTGTAGTTGCTGCTCCACCTCGGAGGACCCTGCTGGGAGCTCCGGGGGTGGGGGTTCAGCTGAAAAAGGAAGCGGCCTTCCGCTCCTGCTCCAGCAGCCTCTCCTCCTGCTCCAGCAGCCTCTCCTCCTGCTCCAGCAACCTCTCCTCCTGCTCCCAGTTCAGGAGACTCAAGCCCTCATTTTCTTCCACTTGGGCTTAAAGCTGTCCTGCCAGATTCTCCGGCTCCTTCCGCACGTGCTCAGCCTCTGTTTGTAGCTGCTGCTCCACCTCGGAGGGCCCTGCTGGGGGCTCCGGGGGTGGGGGTTCAGCTGAGAAAGGAAGCAGACAATAAGGAATACGGGCCTCTGGATTCTCAAAAAAAAAACCCTCCTCTTGGTGCATAGCCCATCTCAGGTTCCCCAAACTTGGCCTCCCTGCTGCTAACGACTCCTCACGCCCTGATGGTAGCCAGACTTCCAAGCCACTTTCAGGTACAGACAACTGTGGGTGGCTGACAACAGGCACTTTTTCCTCTTTGCTGATGGGGACATTGAGGCTCATGAAGATGACAAGACTTGCCATCTCCTGGCACAGACCTCTTTCCCTCTGCCTCAAAGCCTTTCCATGCGCCCACCTCCCTGGGGCATTCTAAGCCATCCCCACAGCCCTCTGACGCCAGTCCTGCTCCCAGGTCACCCCAGCCCCAGCTCACCCATCTGATTCCTTAGTTCAGCCAAGCTCGTCTCCAGTTCCTGTACTCGACTCATGCTATGTGCCCTCTCCTCCCTCAACGTGTGCACCTGCCCAAAGCACAGGGGGAAAGGGCCCTGGAGAGCAGGGCTGGTGGCTGGACAGGCTACCGTCTCCCTCTCTGCCCCTAACTCCACAAAGCCCAGACCCATGAACCCCCTCTGGCTGTGCTCCTCCCATTTCACAGATGCCTGGAACAATCAAGTGACCTATCTGTGGTTGGGGCTGAAGGGTCAGGTCTCACCTTCTCTGACATCTCCCGCATCCTCTGCCACCACATGGCACTCTCTCCGTGCAGATACTGGGCATACTGGTCTCTCTCCATTTGCAGATACTTCAGCCACTCCATCACCTACAAGAATGGGCACAGAAGTCAGGAAGGGCTGTCACTGGTCCTCACCTGTTACTGGCCCCCTGGGGTCACCTTCCTTCCACATCCCTCCCTCTGCAAAGCCTCACCTGCCCCAGGTAGATTCCAGCTGTGCCCATTCCTCCATGGGCTGCTGTAACTGCTGGTTAGCATTAGGGCCTTCACACCAGCTAGACAACTGAATGGTAAAGAAAGAGAAGTTTCTATCTGAGGAGGCTGGGCCGTTCCACACAGTGCCGCTTAAAAGGGCTCAAGCTAGGCTCAATGTACAACTTGGTCAATAAAGATCTCTACTGTGAAGTTGCTTTGCTTTAGAAATAAAAAATAATTTTAAAGAGATCTCAGGCTGGGCATGGTGGCTCGTGCCTGTAATCCCAACACTTTGGGAGGCTGAGGTGAGTGGATTGCTTGAGCTCAGGAGTTCGAGACCAGCCTGGGCAACATGGCGAAGCCGTGTCTCTACAAATACAAAAATTACCCAGGCATGGTGGTGTGTGCCTATAGTCCCAGCTACTTGAGGGGCTGAGGCAGGAGGATCGCTTGAGCCTGGAAGGTAAAGGCTGCAATGAGCCGACATCACGCCACTGCACTCCAGCCCCGGTGACAGAGCAAGACCCCATCCCAAAACAAACAAACAGACAAACAAACAAGAACCTCTACTCTGTTATTACCATGGAATAGTCAAAGTGTTGGCTTGAACCTCAGAAGGAAATAAACAGACTCATGAGCTAGCCATATAAGTGTAATCTATAAAATAATGGTTTTCATCTATGATGCATTAAAAAAAAAAAAAATTTAAGCCCTAACCCTGAGATTCTGATTCCCTAAGTCTATGACAGGGCCCCAGTTTGTAGATTTTTAGCAGTCTCCAGAGGATTCTATGGCAGGACCAGAACAAGGACCCAAATTTTCCAGCTCTTGGCTGGAGCCTCCCTATACCCTGCATGATCCCTAGACCATGACCATGTCCCCAGCTGAATGAGGCTCCCACCACCCCCGGGGCTGCAGCCTCTCGCCTGTTGAAGCGTGAGGTCAGTGAGTTCTAGTTTCTTTTTCAGCTCCTCCAAGTTACGCTGCATCCCTGCCTTGTCAGTCAGTACAACTGGAAGCTGCTCTGCCAAAGCTGAGTTCTCCTGCTTCAGCTCCTTATTGCTGTTGCTATGGCCAGAGGCAATAGAGAAAGGAATGAACAAAGAACAGAAAGTGCTGCTTTGGTGATCAACCCTCTACCCACACCCCACAACCACAGAACCGTGGCACTGGAAGGGACCTCAGGAATCAAAAGTCACAGGTGGCACACCAGAGAGAAGACATGAGTTGCCCAAGTATACCATGAGTCAGGGGCACAGCCAGCACTAGAGCTTAGCCTGTGCACACATGCAAACCTGTATGACCACCTCACCAAGCTCACCTGCACCCCTCCCACCTCCCAGCACATCACCCATGCTAAGGGCCCCAAACCTCCCATCCCACCGTCCCCCGTCCTACCTGTTCTTGTATAACTTCAGCCTGAGGGCATCACTGTCTCCGGTTAACTGGTTGTTGTACTGAAAATACAGAAAGGTGAAGTCAGGATACAGCAGGCAGAGGAGCAGCTGGCAGACCAGGAACGACAGCTACAGTGACTATTCCACAGTAACACTTCCTCACTCTCAATCACGCCTGACATGTTTTCAAGGCATTTCCAAGCCCACAGTCTCATTTGTTTCTCAAAAGAACTCAGTAAGGGTGGAAGGGACAGGGAAGGAGATCAAATTTATAGCTGGTTACCAGAGGCCCAGAGAGATCAGAGAATATTGCTATTGTTATTACCGTTATGACTGCCACTGTTGGAACCTTTATTGAGTGCTTCACCAGGCACCATGCTAGCAATCCCATTTAATCCTCACAACCACCATAGCAGGCAGTTACCATTATCACTTCTATTGTGTAGTTGAAAAACATGGCGTGTCAGAGGTTAAGTGCTTGCCTAAGATCATCAGACAGAGTTGGGATTTGAACACTCAGGTATATCTGATTTTCTAAGCCCATTTTTTCGCTGTCAGGCAGGAAAATAGGATCTGGAGGCAGGGAACATAAGGCCTGTTCACACTTCAGCTATAACAGGAAATATCCTCCCTATGGGGCCTATGGCTAAATGACTTTGTAACTTTACTTCATCCTCTCCATTTACATAGGGCATACCCGAAGTAACCAATGGAATCCTCTAGGGGGTAAACTCCCAAAAATTCTTTAACGGTGCCTTTGAGCCCTTATGCTCAGGTGCACTCCCACACTGTGGAGTGTGCTTTCAGTTTCAATAAATCCCTCCATTCCTTCCTCACTTTGTGCATTTTGTCCAATTCTTTGTTCAAGACGCCAAGAAGCTGGACACCCTCCACTTTTAACAGCTGGGGGTGGGGGCACAGAAAGAAAGGGGTATAATCTGGTGTTCAGTTTTTGAAGGGTACACACCCATAGTCCAAAACTCAGAAAATACAGAAGGGAAATATCTCCCAGCCACCCCGTTCCTCTCTCCTAAGTTTTTTACAAATCCTTGCAGACATGTTTTATGTATATTATCATAGTACACACACAAACACACACACACGTTCCCTCTTTCTACACAAATGGTAACATACTAAAGATACTCTTCTGTACCTTCACAGTGCAAGTACCATACCCCCACCTAGGACTTGGCCAAGGCCACAGCCAGGTAAGGGCAGGGTAGGCACTTGGCCTCCAAGCTCTGCATCCAGTGCTCGCTCCCAACAGTGCCCCCAACTCACCCACAGCAGCCGACACAGCCCCAGGCTGACTCTAACAACCACGCACGAAAGCAGCAAGAAATGGCCCATGTTGCTTTCTGGGCAGGACACTCCATCCTGCAGAAGGGACCTAAAGGTCCCTCACTCCTCCATCTGGAAAGCCGGGCTGCCAGGGTATGGGGCAGGTGGTTGGACTTACCCTATCTGCCTTCCTCTCCTCCCGTTGCAACTCACCCACATGCTTCCAGGAATACTGCAGATGGCTGGCCAGATCCTCGGCCTCTTCTAGAATGAAAGAGGTTGAGATGGGACCCAAAGGCCTAAAGGCCTGTCAAAGCGCCAGGTTGAAGGATGATGGGTGCCCAGATTCCCACCTTCAAACTGCCTGGCAGCATGTTCAGTGTGATACAGTGCTGTATTCAATTCTGCTTTCTCAAACATCAAAATTCCAGTTACCTGATTTGAACCTTTGGGAGAAAAGCCAAGCAAATGCTGAAAGAGAAGGAAAGCAACATTCTCCAGAGGACAGGAGGGAACTTCACACCCTCCACTCACCTGTAATTGCCTCTTTAGGGCTCCCTGGTTTTGCTGGCTTTCTTGCTTTTCCTGTAGGAAGAGGAAGACAGAGCTCTTACTAGGGGGAGGCAGAGATGGCTCAGCAAGGGACTTGCCCCCTGAATGCCACCAATGCCCCAGGACAGGCCCACCCATGGGACCAGGTTATCAGGGACCCTGTGGGGATGAGGTGGAATCTGGGGGATAAGCCTTCTTCTCCAGGCTGTGAGTGGGCAAGACGAGACTGGGGCCTCTACATCTGAGTGCCCCCCAAACCCAGCAGTCATGCTGTGAGCAAAGAAATCACATTACTACTTCCAGTTGATCCACAATTTCTTGGATGTGTTATTTCCTTGGGAGAGTCAAAGGAAGGTGACCAAGGGTGGCCCCTTCAACTCTATTCCCCAGGCCAGGAAGCAGTAGGCAGAGGCCAGAAGTGGATTTTAAAGGCAAAGTTCTCAGACCCACTGGGACCATGAACTGGTCAACTCTCCTCAAGCTCCCAAGGACAGAGGATTTGGGTCTTTGTTGGTTTTGGCCCACAGCCACAGAACTGAAAGTCTGAATCTGGATTCTCCCGAAAGGACAGTAACATAAACCTTTAGAGATGGAGTCTGAGAAAAGCTCACCCTCTACCAGCTTATGATTTAGAAAGGTGCATTCACTCAACAAACATAGACTGAGCACATACAGGCCAGGTATGGTTCTTCACAGCAGAGATATAGGACAGAAAAGGACAGACAGGATCCCTTGGCCCTGAGGTTTACATTCTACTGGACCTTTAAATCATGGACTCTCAGAGCTAACAGAGACTTTTAATACTCTCTAACTCTACCTCCTTGGGAAACACAAGCCCAAGGAGAGGTGGATTGTCCAGAATCAAAGAACAAATTAGGGCCTGAGTCAGGGTGGAAATACAGGGCTCCTGAAAACCAATCAGGCCAGTGCTTCCCTGAGACGCCACAACCCCAGGGCATGTGTGGCAAGAGCTGGAGCAGGGGTGTCTGGAGAAGAGACAGTAGGCAAAGAAGGCAGCAACAGAAGAGCCATGATGCATGCTCTGTGCTCTGGGGTCCCTCCAGCTGAGGCCACGGCCCCCCAGCTCCCCATTTGCCCTTGGCATCAGGGACCCCCAGTCCTTTCTTCAGGGCCCCAAGGGGAAACTGGAGCCCAGGACTTGCAGTGTGGAATCAGTGGACCCCATTGAACTCTTACCAATGACTTGATGGTTTTATTCAGTTGACTGATTGTTATATAACTTGAGCCCAGGGTGACTGTTACCTCTTGGTATCTGCTCTGAGGCACATGAAGAGAGGAGTTGGAGGAGGATTGAGGGGAGAGGTAGAGAGAGCAATCATTAGGGTTGGGGTGTGTGTGAGCTGTCTCAGCTGGCAGAGGGGCACCCAGCCCCCGCTGTGGGAGGAGGTTGGAGGGCTGGCCTGCAGGGTCATTGGGTCATGGCCCAGGGCCTCTTACCTCCAGATCCTTCAAGGTAGCAGATGATGCAGGACCCTCCGCATAGATACGTGTTGCTGACTACAAGAGATGAGGGTGCGCATGGAGATCTTCTGTCCCCGCAGTGTCTGAGCCCTCTGACTTCCTTTCTTCCCCAACAACTGGCAACATTTTCTTTTCTGCATAACTTGGACCCTTCATCCTGTAACCTCTTTGTGCCAACTTCTTTCATGGTTCTTATCTCCCCGCCATCCTTCCCTCCCAAGCAGCTCTCATCCGGTGTTTCTACAGGAGGTTACATAAAATGATGTAACCAGCCACAGGGTCCAACTCCTTCATATGAACAGCTTCAAGGAAGAAGCCTCAGGGAAGAGGCAACTTCCTCAACATTGCCCAGCAAATCGGCTGGTCCCAGGATCTTCCTTCTCTCTTGTGATCCCTGCCTCAGCTTCTTTCTATCATACTTTCCTTCTCCCCGCACTCCCCTCTGGGCCACAATTTCTGAAGTACCTCAGAAGCAACGCCATTGAGCTGTTGGGAGAGTTGTTGCAGGCTCTCGGTTGATGAGAAGGTCCTAAGGGCAGAGACACAGATGTCAGGAGTGCAGGTGGCTCAATGGGAAAGAAGGTCTTAGACACTGGTCTCCCTGACTTCCTCAGCCTAGAGACTGCTGCCCTGATAGGAGACACTCACTTACTTTCATCCATGAGATTGGGGCTAGCATCATCATTCTATGTGGGAAGAAACATATGAGATGGTCACTCAATTTCTGTAAGAATCACCGAGGGCAGGGTGAGCCAAGTTACCAAGCTCATTCCAACAATATTCTATGTCCCCAAACCTCAAGGAAAAGCCCAGGTTCAGCCTTCCCCCATCCCAGTCCCCAGGAAGGGCACTTCGCCCTAGGGAACAAACTACTTGTGAAAAAAGAAGAGAATCCACAGGAGGTACAGGAGGGCAGTAGGCAGAGGAGGAGGCATGAACCTGAGGTGCCACTATACTAGCGAGACTGGCACCAGGGCAAGGGACACCACCAGGTAACACGGTGTCATCAGCAGGTGGCTATACAGACGCAGCATGGTCTTTGGCGTCTGTCACAGAACAGAGCGCAGGGTGTTAGGGGGCCACGCGGGAGAGAAGGTGCCTTGGTGCCATGGACACAAGAGTGTGGAACAGGTAGGACAGATGCTGGTGCAGTCAGACTGACAGTCACGCATGCTTGGAGCCACTTGGGGGTGTGGATATGGTTTGCCCAGGCCTTGGGCTGCTAGGCAGAATTTCGAATGGCCAAAGCTCAAAGCAGGGGCTGCACAGCCTCTTTCATGAACACATGAGGACCTCACTCCCCCTGGAGCTCAGCAAAAGACAGCAGCAGGTTCTGACCTGTGGCAGCCACAGCAGGCTGGAGGAAGGTGCACCAAAGTCAGGGAGGAGAAAGGCACTGTTCTTCCAGAAGGCCAGTCTGTGCCGCAGGTGACCCTAACTGGGCCCCTCCTGGGCAGAGGACAGTGATGAGGAAGTAGTAGTCTGGGCAATGTACAATGTAGCTGTCTGCCTCTCTCTTCTCCCTTGCCTTCTCCCTTACAGTGGCATAATCAGTGGGGATTACCATCTCCTACAGCTCACCCAGCTTCTCTGGCAGCTCCTCCTTGATGTGCTGCTCAGACTAAAGTGCACTGGTGATCTCCATGTTCTCATTGTTCTGGACAGAGACAAGCAATCACGCCTCCCACTGCAGCTGGAGATCCCAGAACTTGGTGTCTGCCTCCCATGGCACCGGGAAGGATGGAGGCAGTTTAGAAAAATGATCCCCTCTCCCCCACAGCCATCAAAGCAGGGCTCTGGCTCACAGGTCCCTTCAGAAGTGTCACTTCACATGAGGGCTACACTGCCCCCACTTAACAGGTGGGGAAACAAAGTCTTGGAGGGCTAGGGAGGAGGACAGTCTCCCCAGGTGGGATGCACCAGTTTTACAAAGCTGCTCTCTGCAGTTGCTCCTTGAGCTCAGGGTTCTGGGAGAGTGCAGGGCTGATGGTGGTGAGGTCGTTCTGCATGGTCCCCAGGGTTTGCCTGCGTACCTCCGCCTGCTCCCCTCAGAGCTCAGCTCCAGCAGCCTCTCCTCCTGCTCCCAGTTCAGGCGTTTCAAGCCCTCATTGTCTTGCATGTGGGCCCACTGGAGCTGTCCTGCCACACTCTCCAGCTCCTTCCACAGGTGCTCAGCCTCTGCTTGTAGCTGCTGCTGCAGCTGGAGACCCCAGAACTTGGTGTCTGCCTCCCATGGCACAGGGAAGGATGGAGGCAGATCAGAAAAATGATCCTCTCTCGCCCACAGCCATCAAAGCAGGGCTCTGGCTCACAGGTCCCTTCAGAAGTGCCACTTCACATGAGGGCTGTGCCCCCTACTGGGGGCTCCAGGGGTGAGGATTCAGCTGAGAAAGGAAGCAGACAATAAGGGCCTCTGGATTCTCAAAAAAACCCTCCTCTCGGTACACAGCTCCTCTCAGGCTCCCCAGACTTGGCCTCCCTGCTAATGATTCTCAAAAAAACCCTCTGCATTCTCAAAAAAAAAAAAAAAATCCTTCTCTTGATCCACTCCTCCCCTCAAGCTCCCCAAACTTGGCCTCCCTGCTAACGATTCCTCACGCCCTGATGGTAGCCAATCTTCCAAGCCACTTTCAGGTAGAGACAACTGTGGGTGGCTGACAACTTTTTCCTCTTGGCTGATGGGGACGTTGAGGCTCGTGAAGATGACAAGACTTGCCATCTCCTGGCACAGACCTCTTTCCCTCTGCCTCAAAGCCTTTCCATGCGCCCACCTCCCTGGGGCATTCTAAGCCATCCCCACAGCCCTCTGACGCCAGTCCTGCTCCCAGGTCACCCCAGCCCCAGCTCATCCATCTGGTTCCTTAGTTCAGCCAAGCTCGTCTCCAGTTCCTGTACTCGACTCATGCTATGTGCCCTCTCCTCCCTCAACGTGTGCACCTGCCCAAAGCACAGGGGGAAAGGGCCCTGGAGAGCAGGGCTGGTGGCTGGACAGGCTACCGTCTCCCTCTCTGCCCCTAACTCCACAAAGCCCAGACCCATGAACCCCCTCTGGCTGTGCTCCTCCCATTTCACAGATGCCTGGAACAATCAAGTGACCTATCTGTGGTTGGGGCTGAAGGGTCAGGTCTCACCTCCTCTGACATCTCCCGCATCCTCTGCCAACACAAAGTGCTCTCTCCTTTCAGATTCTCAGCGTGTTGATCTTTCTCCATCTGTAGTTGTTTCAGTAACTCCATCACCTGCAAGAATGGGCACAGAAGTCAGGAAGGGCTGTCACTGGTCCTCACCTGCTCCTGGCCACCTGGGGTTATCTTCCTTCCACATCCCTCCCTCCGCAAAGCCTCACCTGCCCCAGGTGTGCTTCCAGCTGTGCCCGCTCCTCCATGGCCTGCTGTAACTGCTGGTTAGCATCAAGAGCTTCATAACCAGCTTCAACTCCTCCATCTGGGAAGCTGGGCTGCCAGGGGATGGGGCAGGCTGTACGACTCACCCTATCCATGTTCTTCTGCTGCGTGGAGACAGCAAAGAGAGTTCGTTCCAACTCTCCCGTAAACTGCTGCAAATACTGCAGGCGGCTGGCCAGATCCGTGGACTCTCCTGAAATGAGAGAAGTTGAGATGGGGCCCAAAGGACTACCCCTAAAAGCCTGTCAAAGCGCCAGGTTGAAGGATGATGGGTGCCCAGATTCCCACCTTCAAACTGCCTGGGAGCACATTCAGTGTGATACAGTGCTGTCTTCAATTCTGCTTTCTCAAACATCAAGATTCCAACTGTCTGATTTGAACCTTTGGGAGAAAAGCCAAGCAAGTGCAGAAAGAGAAGGGATTCACCCGAAAGGACAGTAACATAAACCTCTGTGAGGCAGGAAAATAGGGTCTGGAGGCAGGGAACCTAAGACTGTTGTGCGCCGACTTCCTAGAATCAAATCGAATAGTAAATAGTGAGAAGTTCAGATCTGGGGAGCCTGGGCTGTTCCACATAGTGCCCTTTAAAAGGTCTAGAGCCCGGCTTAATGTACAACTTGGTCAATAAAGATCTCTACTGTCGAGTTTCTTTGCTTTAGAAATAAAAAATTAAATAATTTTTTTAAAGATTTCAGGCCAAGGATGGTGGTTCATGCCTGTAATAACACCACTTTGGGAGGTGGAGGTGGGTGGATTGCTGGAGATCAGGAGTTCAAGACCAGTCTGGGAAACATGGCAAAGCCCCGTCTCTACAAATACAAAAGTTACCCAGGCATGGTGGTGTGCACCTGTAGTCCCAGCTACTTGAGAGGCTGAGGCAGGAGGATCGCTTGAGCCTGGGAGGTGGAGGTTGCAGTGAGCCAAGATCACGCCACTGCACTCCAGCCCCAGTGATACAGGGAGGCCCCGTCCCAAAATAAAAAACAAACAAACAAAAACTCTACTCTCAATTATTACCGTGGAATAGTTGAAGTGTTGGCTTGAACCTCAGAAGGAAATAAACAGACTCATGAGCTAGCCATATAAGTGTAATCTATAAAATAATGGTTTTCATCCATGATGCAATTTTTTAAAAAATGTAAGCCCTAACCCTGAGATTCTGATTCCCCAGGTCTACGGCAGGGCCCCAGTTTGTAGATTTTTAGCAGTCTCTAGAGGATTCTATGGCAGGACCAGAACAAGGACCCAAATTTTCCAGCTCTTGGCTGGAGCCTCCCCATACCCTGCATGATCCCTAGACCATGTCCTCAGCTGGATGGGGCTCCCACCACCCCTGGGGCTGCAGCCTCTTGCCTGAAGCAGGAGCTCAGTCCTCTCCAGCTTCCTGTGCAGCTCCTTCAAGTTGAGTTAAATCCCTGACTTCGCAGTCACTAGGACTTGAAGCTTCTCTTCTTGTTCTGAGTTCTTCTGCTTCAGGTCCTCATTGTTTTGGCTATGGCCAGAGGCAGGAGAGAAAGGAATGAACGAAGAACAGAAAGGACTACAATGAAGAGCAGAAAGGACGGCTCCTCTACCTTCGCCCCACAACAACAGAACCGTGGCACTGGAAGGGACTTCAGGAATCAAGTCACAGGTGGCACACCAGAGAGAAGACATGAGTTCCCCAAGGCCACACCGTGAGTCAGGGGCACAGCTAGCGCTAGAGCTTAGCCTGTGCACACATGCAAACCTGTATGACCACCTCACCAAGCTCACCTGCACCCCTCCCACCTCCCAGCACATCACCCATGCTAAGGGCCCCAGACCTCCCATCCCACTGTCCCCCGTCCTACCTGTTCTTGTATAACTTCAGCCTGAGGGCATCTCTGTCTTTGGTTACCTCCTTGTTATACTGCAAATACAGAAAGATTAAGTCAGGATATAGCAGGCAGAGGAGCAGCTGGCTGACCAGTAACAATAGCTATAATAACTATTCCCCAGTTAACACTTCCTTACTCTCAATCACAGCTGACATATTTTCAAGGCATTTCCAAGCCCATAGTCTCATTTGTTTCTCAAAGAACTCAATAAGGGTGGAAGGGACAGGGAAAGAGATCGAATTTATAGCTGGTTACCAGAGGCCCAGAGAGATCAGAGAATATTGCTATTGTTATTACCATTATTACTATCACTATTTGAACCTTTGAGTGCTTCACCAGGCACCATGCTAGCAATCCATTTAATTCTCACAACCACCATATGAGACAGTTACTACTATTACCTCTGTTGAGCAGGTAAAAAACATGGGGTATTAGAGGTTAATTGCTTGCCTAAGATCACTCAGACAGAGCTGGGATTTGAACACCCAGGTATATCTGATTCTCTAAGCCCTTTTTTTTAATGGGGGTTGGGACACAGAAAGGAAGGAGGAAATTAATCTTATGTTCACCTTTTGAAAGGATGATAAATTCACATAGTCCAAAACTCAGAAGGTACAGAAGGGAAATATCTCCCAGCCACCCTGTGTCTCTCTCCTGAGTTTTGTATGAATCCTTTTGTGGCAGGCCAATTCTCCCTGACAATCACACAGACAGGCCTTCATGACAGTCACACAGACAGCCCTGCACAGCACTCCAGTTTACACAAACAAATTTCCACAGAGCTGCCTTAACATTGAGCAAATAGTTAAACCTAGAGAAATTCATGCCCAGGTATCAAAGCTAGAAAAGAAACATATGGTCAGTAGGACCCTTGCATAGGCTTCTCCCTAACCTGGAGCAAGTCAAAATAATAAAGACAGTCTTATATTCCTAGTCTCGGGTTGACGGAATCTGAGACGAGTCAAGGTAACAGAGGCAGCTGTTTGAATAGATTCATTGGAGAGTCTAAGGCAGCTTTCCAGACCAAGCTGTGAGGGAGATAAGATAGAAATAATCACTCTGATACCACAGTAGACAGGCCTTGAGGGTACTGGGGCCCTCACAGCTTAATCAGACTTAGCCAGCACTTTTTGCCTCTGACTTTCTGGTTGAAACAAAATTAGTTATCAATAGACTTAGGTGAATGCTATGCTGCACGTAGGCACATAACCCCAACCTATATAAGCACTAAGAAAATTGTAACACTTCGAGTTGGCCTGGTGGAATTATCTCCAGCCTTCTCCCTGTATCCGGTTACAGCAATAAATTCCCTTCTTTCCTAGTTTGTTTCTCATTTTTGAGCCTCAAGAAAACGCAGCCAGTGGCTCTGAAACCACTTTCAAGCATGTTTTATGTATATTATCATAGTACTTACACACACAGACACGCACACATACACACGTTCCCTCTCTCTACACAAATGGTAACATACTAAAGATATTCTTCTGTACCTTCACAGTGTAAGTACCATATCCCCCACTTAGGACTTGGCCAAGGCCACAGCCAGGTAAGGGCACGGTAGGCACTTGGCCTCCCAGCTCTGCATCCAGTGCTGCACGTCCAAACTCTGCTTGCTCCCCACAGCGCTCCCCAACTCACCCACAGCAGCCAACTCAGCCCTAGGCTGCCTCTAACAACAACATACAAAAGCAATGAGAAATGGCCCATGCTGTTTTCTGGGCAGGACACTCCATCCTGTAGAAGGGACCTAAAGGTCCCTCACTCCTCCATCTGGGAACCTGGGCTGCCAAGGGATGGGGCAGGCAATAGGACTCACCCTGTCCATGTTCTTCTGCTGCGTCGAGACAGCAAAGAGTCCAATCCAACTCTCCCACACGCTGCTGGGAATACTGCAGGTGGCTGGCCAGATCCGTGGACTCTCCTGAAATGAGAGAGGTTGAGATGGGGCCCAAAGGACTCCCCCAAAAGGCCTGTCAAAGCACCAGGTTGAAGGATGACGGGGTGCCCAGATTCCCACCTTCAAAGTTCCTGGCAGCACATTGCATATGATAGAGTTCAGCATTTAATTTTCCTTTCTCAGACATCAGTATGTTGGTTCTCTGGATTTGAACCTTTGGGAGAAAAGCCAAGCAGGTGCTAAAAGAAAAGGAAAGCAACACTCTCCAGAGGACAGGAGGGAACTTCACACCCTCCACTCACCTCTGCCTCTTTAGGGCTCTCCCTGGTTTTGCTGGCTTTCTTGCTTTTCCTGTAGGAAAAGGAAGACAGAGCTCTTACTAGGGGGAGGCAGAGATGGCTCAGCAAGGGACTTGCCCCCTGAATGCCGCCAATGCCCCAGGACAGGCCCACCCATGGGACTAGGTTATCAGGGACCCTGTGGGGATGAGGTGGAATATGGGGGGTAAGCCTTCTTCCCCAGGCTGGGAGTGGGCAAGACGAGACTGGGGCCTCTACATCTGAGTGCCCCCCAAACCCAGCAGTCATGCTGTGAGCAAAGAAATCACGTTACTACTTCCAGTTGATCCACAATTTCTTGGTTGTGCTGTTTCGTGGGGAGGGTCAAAGGAAGGGGACCAAGGGCGGCCCCCTCGACTCTACTGCCCAGACCATGAAGCGGTAGGTAGAGGCCAGGAGTGGATTTTAAAGGCAAAGTTCTCAGACCCACTGGGACCATGAACTGGTCAACTCTCCTCAAGCTCCCAAGGACAGAGGATTTGGGTCTTTGTTGGTTTTGGCCCACAGCCACAGAACTGAAAGTCTGAATCTGGATTCTCCCAAAACGACAGTAACATAAACCTCTATGAGGCAGGAAAATAGGGTCCGGAGGCAGGGAACCTAAGACTGTTTCGCGCCGACTTCCTAGAACCAAAATGAAAAGAAAACCCTAGCTTTCCATGTCTGAGTAACGAAAGAACCAGAGGCTACTACCTTTCACCTTTTCTGTGAGGCAGATGGGAAACTGGCTGTCTGCAACAAGTTAAGACTGATTGCTGGTCAAGTCTTCATTTGCAAAGAAGTATAACTTTGTAACTTCACCCTAGCCTCTGGTTGGTTGCTGGTTGCTTTTTGCAACCAATCAGATTGTTTGCACAGGAGTGTGACTTTTGTAACTTCACTTCAGCCTCTGGTTGGATGTTTTCTGCAACCAATCAGACTGATTGCGGCTACCACTTCAGTTACATGAGGTGAGCATGAAGTGGCCAATGGGAAACTTCTGGCGGATATTTGGACCCAGGAAGATTCTGTATCCAGGCCCTTGAGAGGCTCCTCAGGCCCACTCCCACACTGTGGAGTGTACTTGTGTTTTCAATAAATCCCTGCTTTGGTTCTTTTGTTGCTTCATTCTTTCTTTGCTTTGCTGGGCATTTTATCCAATTCTTTGTTCAAAATTCCAAGATCTTGGACAACTTGTAGTCACGACCTTCTACCAGTGACATGTATAGATGGAGTCTGAGAAAAGCCCAACATTCTGCCAGTTTGTGATTTGGAAAATGCATTCACTCAACATTGAGCACACACGGG